CCCATCCCTCACCCCCCCCCCACTGCCTCCCCACTTCAGTCACCTCCGGCTGCTACACAGGCCCACCTTCCCCTCTGCCCTGACCCTTCACCCTCCACAGGAAGGCACTACAGCCTCCCTGGCCCAACCATCAGGTACCCTGGCTGACAACAGAAGCCAAATTTACAGCAGGAGCGAAGCCACTCAAATACTGAGAGAGCGATACAGACCATTAGGACATTCGCTGACATCTGGGGTTACTCTGGGGACTTTACAAAACACAGCCTAGCTGGACTGGGTATGAGAAGGAGGGAACCCGTCTTCCAGGTAAGAGCCCAGAGCCACCGGGAGCGGGGCCTGCCCATGGTCTCCAGGAAACCAGACCCCAGAACACGCTGTGCTCATAGTGGCCTCCTCCAAGACAGGGCCTGGCGGACTCCCTCCCTCCTGGTGTCCAGGGATGAAATTCTGTGTGACAGTTTGGGATTGGGTATGACTAAATGTTACAACTTGAAGCCTCCCATTCATAAAGAGGAATACTTCGGTGGAGAAGTTATGAGTGAACTGGGTTGTAAATGCTTTATCCTGTAGCTTGAACAATCCGGGCGTCTGCAGGTCTAGCCTGAGCCGTTAGCGAGGGTGCAGGGTCTGCATGTGGAGAGCATCATAGGTGTCTTTGGTGGCCGCACTGAGCCCCTAGGGAAAGCAAATCAGAAAAGAAGAGTGGGTCAGGAGCCCCACGTGGGCACGAGCCTACCTGGAGGCCAGCAGGTGTCTTGTGCAGCCTGGCCTGTGACCTCCCAGCCAGCCTGAGGGCCTACGAACCATCCCCACAAGCCACAGGCGGGGGCCTTGGCCTATGTGGCTGGAGCAGAGATGGGCTCTGTGTCCCGCTGGGAATGGCCCTGGTGCAATTCCTTTCCAGCTAAATTCTCATCTTCTCCCACCTTGTCAAATGCAACGCCCAACAGAACTTCCTGTCAGACCACAGAGGAAGGAGAGCGCCCCAGTTGGAACACTGAGCTGGAGCCAGGGGGCAGGGGGCAGTCCTGCTCCAGAGAATCGGCTGTCCCTGAGGCATGGGCCTCCAGGAAGCCGGGACGTATCACGGGCACAGAGTGGCTCGTTGGCCTCAGCCCTCCTGAGCCTCCTTCCACTTCTTTGCAGGGGAACAGGCAGGCTGGTCCAACCTCACTGGACCGTCTCCCTCTCTGGTCGAGAAGACAGATCAACAGCAGCCACACAGAAAAATTCTGGGGGCCGTTTTGACATCACCCTGAACTCAGGCAAGCCAGGCAGCCCGAGATTTTAGAGTCAGTCGAGCGAGCTGTGAACAGCCTTGGGGAGGCATGAACAGCGAAGTGAGAACCCAGAGAACCCACCGGGGATTACATTTTAGAGAAGTAGGTTGGTTGCGCTTAGTTTGCATAATTATTCACACTGATCTGCATAAGCTAGGTACCTGGCTACAGCTATTTGATTTGTTTTCCCTCAGTCTTCTCACCCATCCTCCCATCCTGTGAGGGGTGAGGATGCGAGGCAGAGCAAGGCTTCTGCAAGGGCCCAGAGCTGCAGAGAAAGTGGCAGGAAGTGGCTCGTGGGGCATCCTCTGCTACAAGACCACCCAGCCTCCAGGCAGCTGCCCCTGGTGTGACGGGGCAGCGCTCCCACGGCCTCCAGGCCTCCAGGTCGGAGCCAAGTGCTTGAATGGTTGAATCCCAACCCTGCCCCAGGGACTGACTGACAGAGGAGTTACCCTGGGCCTGAATGCGTGTCTCGGGCTTGCCCAGCCCAGCTGCTGACAGGAGCTGGCGCCACCAACAAGCAAAACCAGGGAGCCTGACCTCGGCCCTGGTTACATGGTGCCACCCTGGGAAGAAGGGCAGCAGCGCAGGCCAGAGGCACTGCCACCAGCCCTTACCTGGTAAAGGCCGTCCTGCCCCTTGCCTCTTCGCCGCTGGTTCTGCAGGAGTGAGACAAGGAAAGGGTTAGAAAGCCAGAGAGTCAGTACTACTCAGCCACAGAAAAGAATAAAATAATGCCATTTGCAGCCACGTGGATGGACCTGGAGATCATCACATTAAGTGAAGTAAACCAGAAAAAGAAAAATACCATATAATATCACTTACATATGAAATCTAAAAGAATGACCTAAATGAACTTATTTACAAAACAGAAACAGATTCACATAGGAAACAGTCTTACGGTTATCAGGGGGAAAGGGGGTGGGGAGGGATAAACTGGGAGTTCGGGATTTGCAAATACTAACTACTATATAAAAAATAGATAAACAGCAAGGTCCTACTGTACAGCACAGGGAACTACATTCAGTATGTTATAATAACCTATAATGAAAAATAATATGGAAAGGACTATATATACACATAAGTGAATCACTATGCTGTACACCAGAGACTAACACTACATTGTAAACTGACTATACTTCAATTAAAAGCAAAAAGAAAAAACCATACAGTCAGGCTGTCAGCAATAGCCTTCCTGCCCAAGGGCCCTACTTGAGGGGCGCCAGAGAGGCAGAGATGACTGCCCCCCAGCCAGCACCCCTGCCCCCTGGGAGAGAAGGGTCCTCGGGCCACTGGTCAGACCTTGGCCTCTGCAGAGTAAGGTGAGGCCTGGTTCTGACCAGGCCCAGGCTTGCTCTGCCCAACTCAGATCCTCCCAGGCATCAGATTCTTGGATCTGGTCCACATGGGAGTTGCCCACGTGGCCCACCGCTTGGAATTAAACGAGCTTCCCTGATGCTCTCAAAATTCTCGGCTAGTCATCAACGCTCCCTGGGAACGGCACCTACGCCGTGGGGACAAGCTCAGACGTAGAGCCCACCCCCATCCTGGCTTCCCTGTTCACCGGCTGCGTGGCCTTGGGTAAGTTACCGCACCTCCTGTGCCTGGCAGGGCACCTTTCTCACTGGGTTGTTGTGGGAATTACAGGAGACCATCTATCTGGTAAAGCATTGACCAGGCCAGCTTCACAGGCATGTCACCAATGCAGTGACACAGGGGTCAAATTTAGAGGGGTTCAATGCTCTGTTCTCGCTTTTTGGAAATTCTCAGTCATTTATGAACAACGAGCCCTGCCATTCCAAGTGCACATGATAATGACTGTTATTAATGGTGACAGATTTGACCTGTTTTTGCAAAGCACAGGCATCTTAGAATCTAACTAGGTTTTCACTCCTTAAAGGGCATCAGCCCTTCCTTAGTACCTTACATACTAGCCAGTGGGCAAGAGCTGGACTAACTCTGCCTCTGCCAGCCACCACACGGGCTTTTGCAGGTAATCAGAGGAAGGGGTGGGACTAGAGGCCTGTGGCAGGGCATCTGGAAACTTCTCTGGAGCAACTCCTACACCACCCAATTCTTGGGAATTAAGAAAGAGCAACGCTCACCTCGCTTTTCATCCCGATCTCGCTGTAGGCCTCCGCCATCTTGTCTTTTCGCAGCTCCTAGAGAAGTGGGTGCGAGACACTGGTTTTACCAATTAACGCAGAAAACTGTGGGCTCTCCTACAAGAGGAAACTTCTGGATTCCCAAGTTGGTCAGGAGTTGCGGGGAAGGCTTCCACAATCAAGGCTCCAGGCCTTATTCACACAAACATCTTTGCCAACAACCAGGTCCAACTCCATCCTCCTCCTCCTCAGCCCACTGGAACATTCTCTGAGCTGCCAGCCCTTTGCATGGAGCTGAAAAACTCAGGTTAGGTTCAAAAAGATAAGATGTGGAGTCCTAGCTAAAGGACACGCATGTTGGACAATGCAAGGGCTCACTGGGAGCTCCAGAATCATCTATTTGAGTTAGTTGTGTCTTTACACAGCCAGCACCATGAGCGGTGGGTCAGCCAACTGCAGGACGGAAAGCAGGGTAGCTCTCCTTACAGCAGGTCACCGCCTACAACAGTCCCTTTTGTGGCAGCCCCAGATCAACACCCAGGATGGTGAGGCTGACTTTCCAATGAGAGGCGACACTCAGGGGATAACTCCAGCCCTGAGGAACAGGAGCCCTCAGAGGGGGCTTCCCCAGCCTGATGTCGCTGTCCCCCAAGGGGGTCCCCACCGGGCTTATCAAGGGAACTCCAACAGCAGGGAGGGAAGGCAAGCCAAGGGGCCTTCCGACAAGCAGCCGCTGCAGGCGGCAAGCAGGGGAGGCATTATCTGGCCCAGGGAAGTGACGGCCAAGCCAGGCAAAGACCACCGAGTAGGGAGCAAAGTCTTCATCCAAGGCCCTCCTCCAGCCCTACCAGCCAACTTTTCCAGGGAGAATGTGACACCTCCTCTACTCACATTGTACACGATGTCCTGGGGATTCTTCCTCCTCTGCTGGGAGAGACAAGGGGGAGAAGTTAGAGGTGGAGAAACAGGAATCCAGGCCAGGAGAGCTGCAGCACCCTCCCCATGCCCCGTGGCCCCACACCCTCTGTGGGCTCTGCCGTCAGCCTGTCCCCTTCCTGAAGGGCAGCGGGAAACAGGGCCTCCCCCGTCCTCATGCCCAGGCCTCTCACATTACGGTGGAAGGTAGTGGCAGAGTGTGGCAGAGTGCCCAGGAGTCCTCTCCTCACTGCCCGGCTGAGCCCTTACACACACTCACACCCTCTCATCACACACACGTGCAGAGACAGTTAAGGCCCTACCGGTTTCCCTCCCATTTCAGGGTCCAGGCCCCCTCTCTTATCCAAAACAGCATACTCCTCTCTTCGTCCCAGATTGAGCTCCTAAAACAGAGAGAAAAGTATCAGAGACCAGAAAGAGAGGCTCAGGAGGATGGGGCTGGCGGGACTGGGAGACCCCTCTGGGTGGTGGCTCACAAAGGAAAGAGCAGGGGCTGGGAGATTCATGGGGAACCATCATCTCCAAGAACATCTCAAAGAACATGCGTTACCTTGCGGGGGACAGGGGAAAGCGGTGATCATCGGTTCGACTAAAGTCCCATTGCACAGGGAGCGTGAAATCGCTTCCCTACCGCAGGGAAGATTTTAGACATTCCTTCTCCACCCCCATCTCTTCTGGCCTATGAACCGCGGAGCAGGCACTACACCAAGTAGGCGCCTTCCGGGCATCAAATCGCTAGTGGTGGCATCCTCGCAGTAACCCCACGAGGCAGGCACCTTGACTATCCCCGTTTTACTGGTTAGGAAACTGAGCCCCAGGGAGGTAAGACGACTTGCAGGGCTGGCAGCCGTGGACCAGACGTAGACCGAGCCCCTGGCCGCCGTCTTCCCCACGCCCCAGCTGCGGGCTGCACTTGCTCTCGGCGGGGCTCCACGGGAGAGGCAGACTTACGTTGTAGAGCTGGTTCTGGCCCTGCTGGTAGGCGGCGACGTCCGCGCTCCCGCTGAACTGGATGGAGAAGTGGGGAAAGAGCGCGTTACGCCCGCGCACGCAGCCTCGCCCCGCTCCTCGACGGCCAACGGCGCGCGCCCTGCCTGCCGCGGTTCAGTGCTCTGC